ATCCCACCAACCAGTTAGCTCTAACAGAGTCTGACTGGTGATTACCGTCTAGGTAGCCTTTGTTAGCCTGATGCTAACAAACAAAAGCCGTTTTATGACCTATCCACTCCCCAGTCTTTGCTAACTGCTAACTGCACTGCTCACATTTCGGTGGTACGTGCTGGATTCTGGTTCTTTCTCATAATTTTCTCATTGACTTTGGGTTAGCGTTAGCTTAAGGTTAGCCTAAAGTTAGCTTAAGGTTAGCCTAACGTTAGCCTAATGCTAGCCTAACGCTAGCCTTACGCTAACCCTCAGATTGAGCCGAGCAGAAAAAAGTCCCTTAAACGTGTAAATACGCTTTGTTATTGATATTATATTATATTATATATATATTATACTATGATATTGTTATTGATCACCAGTTAAATTACACCATATTTGACTTTTTTTAAAATAATTTCCAGAAGGAAATGGAAGCTTTAGAGTAGGAATTCGGCTCCATTTTGGCGCCATTCGTCGCCGACTGAACGAGCTCTGCGAGGATCTCGTGCTTTGATTTCCCGCCTGTTTAGGGTTAGCAAAAGCGGTGGGAGAAAGAGCTGAGTGCTGGAATCAGCCCGCCTGGTCTCATAAATATGGAACGCTCTCTAATCAATCTGCAGCGTGTACTCAGGGCGGGGATTGATTTCTGCTCCACAGCCATCTGTTGAGCAGCAATAACGTCCTCAGGGACCAAAAGCACGAGTCTCTGGACCTCCTGGAGGAATTTGGGGTTTTTAGGCACCAAACCTCTCCCAGAATGCATCAATATGCTAGAAATGAACTTAATTAAATGATCAAAAGTGACAGTATTTGAGTTTTTTCTCCCCTTTGCGCCTACAGTTGAGCACCTTTGCTCTAAAAAGACCATTTATTCACTTTAAAACATGTTTAAGGATCTGAACTGAACCATTTCTGTTTTTTCTATTCTATTCTATTTTCTTTTTTCTATTTTCATTTACAGACGCCTTTATGTCTCCTACCTATTTTTTCCACAAAGGTCAGCTTATTTCCACATTCCTGTCTTCTTTTTTACATTTTTCTTTATGAACTTTAGCCTCATTATGTAAATACGGTGAGCTTTCAGACAAACAAATCAAACTAAATGAAACCAAATGAAAATTTAAAAAAAATTAAACAAATAAAACAAAAATCAAACTAATTAAACTAACTGAAAATTAAACAAAAATTAAACAAGTCAAATAGAAATTTAACTAATTAAACAAAATGAAAATTAAACAAATTAAACAAATAAAACCAAAATTAAACTAATTATACTAAATGAAAATTAAACTAAAATCATGCTGATTAAACTAAAATTAAAATAATTCAACAAAAATTCAACAAAAAATCAACAAATTAAACAAAAATTAAACAAATGAAACTGAATGAAAATTAAACAAAAATTAAAATAATTAAACAAAAATTAAACTAATTAAACTAAATGAAAATTAAACAAAAATTAAACTAATTAAACAAACAATAAACTAATTAAACTAAATGAAAAAATAAAACAAATAAAACAAAAATTAAACTAATTATACTAAATGAAAATTAAACAAAAATCATGCTGATTAAACTAAAATTAAAGTAATTAAACTAAAATTCAACAAAAATCAACAAATAAAAAAAAAATTAAACAAATGAAACTAAATGAAAATTAAACAAAAATTTAACTAATTAAACAAAATGAAAATGAAACTAAAATCCTTAGAGAAATCCATCTTCTCAGCTATTAGTCCGTCAAAATGAAAGATCCTTTAACTTCCTGTGGACTGACCAATGAGGAAAGCCCGCCTTATTTGCATAATAGTAAAACCAGATGTGTTAAAAAAAAAAGTTCAAATTCTAACAAATGTGTTGGACCTAATGGGGACAAATAACAAAAATAAACAAATATATACAGAAACATCTGAGTAAATGAAACAATTTGCTAAATATGTACCGATTTAAAGATAAAAAGTGACAATATTTCCAGCTATAATTGTAAAACGATCAACTTTAGCACATATCTGATCAGTTCTGAGCTTTGGGAGTGTGGTAAATGTCAGAAATGTTCATGTTTTCCTACATATGTACTCACTTCCACTCAGAAATAAAATGTCTTTCTCCGTTCTCCCTCATTTAACATCTCCATTTACCGTTTGTGCTCTTACAGGCGGGGAATGCTTTTTGGGCCATTTTCCACAACAGTGGCTCTATAAAGATATGGTATGGGCAAACGATAGCTATAGTTATGTTTTTATTCTTCTAATGTTCTAAAAACATTAACAAAAAGAAAAAAATTACATATTTTCTCTTTCTTTTGCAACAAAAAAAGGCCACCGACTCGAGTCACATGACTGAATCCTGTCTGCTGATTGGCTTAGCTAAAGCCCACTGGAGTCACATGGCTTAGCTAAAGCTACATGACTGATTCCTGTCTTCATAATTGTGAGATATAAATGTTTTTTTTGGGTTAAACTTATATTGTACAAACCTATTTAACATCCACTATTTTAACATAACATTATGGATAGAGTTTAATTCAGATTCATTTTACTATTTTAAAATTAATGTACGATTTTCTTGGCTATTGGTGACCTAATCAAAATGGTCGACCTGGATGTGGGCGGAGTCTGATATCCATCCTTGGCTTCTAGACGGACTTGATTAATGTTGGCGTGTTATTATTATTATTATTATTATTACCCATTAGCCGAAGCTAGCAATTCAAGGCTAACGACATGCTAACGAGTATCATATCCGGACACAACGTTTTAGTATCTATACTTTTTTGAGTATCTATACTTTTGACAACCCTAATTCAAATCCAGACTGGTGCGTAGGCTGGAGGCAGTTACCATTTTCTCTTCTTCCTATTGCAGAACACTTTTGATAACCCTAATTCAAATCCAGGCTGGAGGCAGTTACCATTTTCTCTCCTGGGATCTTCCCATTGGTGACCTCATCAAAATGGCTGCCCTGGATGTGGGTGGAGTCTGATATCCATCCTTGGCTTCCAGACGGACTTGATTAATGTTGGCGTGTTATTATTATTATTATTATTATTATTATTAGCCATTAGCCGAAGCTAGCAATTCAAGGCTAACGCCATGCTAATGAGTATCCTATTCGGACACAACGTTTTGGTATCTATACTTTTTTTGAGTATCTATACTTTTGATAACCGTAATTCAAATCCAGGCTGGAGGCAGTTACCATTTTCTCTCCTGGGATCTTCCTATTGGTGACCTAATCAAAATGGCCGACCTGGATGTGGGCGGAGTCTGATATCCATCCTTGACTTCGTACTAAATTGATTAATGTTTGCATGTTATTAGCTAGCAATTCAAGGCTAACATCACGCTAACGAGTATCCTATCCGGACACAATGTTTTAGTATCTATACTTTTTTGAGTATGTATACTTTTAAAACCTTACTATACCTTACTATACTATAAAAACCTATGCTTTTCTAATCCAGACTAGTGTGTAGGCGGGAGGCAGTTACCATTTTCTCTCCTTCCTATTGGTGACCTAATCAAAATGGCCGACCTGGATATGGGCGGAGTCTGACATCCATCCTTGGCTTCTATACGGACTTGATTATTGTTGGTGTATTATTATTTTTATTATTACCCATTAGCCGAAGCTAGCAATTCAAGGCTAACGTCATGCTAATGAGTATCCTATCCGGACACAATGTTTTAGTATCTATACTTTTTTGAGTATCTATACTTTTAACAACCCTAATTCAAATCCAGACTGGCATTATTAGTCATTAGCCATTAGTCGAAGCTAACAATTCAAGGCTAACGTCATGCTAATGAGTATCCTATCCGGACACAATGTTTTAGTATCTATACTTTTTTGAGTATCTATACTTTTAACAACCCTAATTCAAATCCACACTGGCATTATTAGTCATTAGCCATAAGCCAAAGCTAACAATTCAAGGCTAACGTCATGCTAATGAGTATTTTATCCGGACACAATGTTTTAGTATCTATACTTTTTTGAGTATCTATAGTTTTAACAACCCTAATTCAAATCCAGGCTGCCATTATTAGTCATTAGCCATTAGCCAAAGCTAACAATTCAAGGCTAACGACATGCTAATGAGTTTCCTATGAGTATGAGTATACATATGAGTATGAGTATCCCACAGCGTTTTAGTATCTATACTTTTTTGAGTATGTATACTTTTAAAACCTTACTATACTATAAAAACCTATACTTTTATAGTCCAGACTGGTGTGTAGGCTGGAGGCAGTTACCATTTTCTCTCCTGGGATCTTCCCATTGGTGACCTAATCAAAATGGCCGACCTGGATGTGGGCGGAGTCTGATATCCATCCTTGGCTTCCAGACGGACTTGATTAATGTCGGCATGTTATTAACTAGCAATTCAAGGCTAACGTCACGCTAACGAGTATTCTATCCGGACACAATGTTTTATTATCTATACTTTTTTTAGTATGTATACTTTTAAAACCTTACTATACCTCACTATACTATAAAAACCTATACTTTTATAGTCCAGACTGGTGTGTAGGCTGGAGGCAGTTACCATTTTCTCTCTTGGGATCTTCCCATTGGTGAACTAATCAAAATGTCCGCCTTGGATGTGGGTGGAGTCTGATATCCATCCTTGGCTTCCAGACGGACTTGATACATGTTGGCGTGTTATTTTTAGCAAGTAGCCATTAGCCAAAGCTAGCAATTCAAGGCTAACGTCATGCTAATGAGTATCCTAAACAGACACAATGTTTTAGTATCTATACTTTTTTGAGTATGTATACTTTTAAAACCTTACTATACCTTACTTAATATTGGCATTAGCCATTAGCCGCAGCTAGCAATTCAAGGCTAACGCCATGTTAATGAGTATCCTATCCGGACACAATGTTTTAGTATCTATACTTTTATGAGTGTGTATACTTTTAAAAACCTTACTATACTATAAAAACCAATACTTTTATAGCCCAGACTGATATTTAGGCGGGAGCTCTCACCTTGTCGGGGGCGGCGGGGGGGCTGAACCTGCCGGCACACACCAGGAAGGCGTCGGGCTGGGGCTTGCCCCCCTTCACCTGGGGGTCGTCCCCCAGGACCAGGTGCTCAAACCGGGAGAAGAAGTCCCGGTGGCGGCTGGTCTTCAGCAGGAAGGAGCCGGAGGCCGAGCTGGTGGCCACGGCCGAGGGCACGCCGTTAGCCCGCAGGTGCTCCACCAGCCTCTCCACCCCTGGTGGACAACAGAACATAGAACATAGAACATAGGACTGACACTAAACCCCACTTCTGAGGCCTCAACAGACGGATTTTCCAACATAAAAATGGGAAATTCGGTCAAATATTCGACTCCAAGCCCAAAGTAAACTTCCAAAATACGACAAAGTCAGAGAAAAATAGATATTAAATATAAAAAATACAGAAAATATATAGAAAAATATATAGAAAATATTAAAAATACATAAAATATACATTAAAATATATAGAAAATATAAAAATGTAATCAAACTAACTGGTGTAAGTTGGTGTAAAGTTCCAGTATAAAGTCAGAGTGAGTTAGGGTTGGTCCAAAATACGACAAAGTCATAGAAAAATAGATTTAAAAGATAAAAAATACATAAAATATATAGAAAAATATATAGAAAATATTAAAAATACATTAAATATACATTAAAATATATAGAAAATATAAAAATGTAATCAAACTAACTAGTGTAAGTTAGTGTAAAGTTCCAGTATGAAGTCAGAGTGAGTTAGGGTTGGTCAAAGTCATACGAAAATATGTATAAAACATAAAAATTAAATTAAAATAATATAAAATATAGAAATTAAATTAAAATAACTACTGTAAGTTGGTGTAGAGTTCATGTATAAAGTCAGAGTGAGTTAGGGTTGGTCGAAGTCATACGAAAATATGTATAAAATATAAAAATTAAATTAAAATAAAATAAGCTAAGTTAGTTTAAAGTTCCTGTAGTAAAGTCAGAGTAAGTTAGGGTACGTCCTAACTTAACTTAACTGACCCTAAACTCCACTTCTGAGGCCTAAACAGACGTATTTTCCAACATAAAAATGGGAAATTCCATCAAATATTCAACTCCAAACCCAAAGAAAACTTCCAAAAGCCTAAGTCATAAGAAATATGTATAAATATATAAATATTAAATTAAAATAAAATAAGCTAAGTTAGTTTAAAGTTCCTGTAGTAAAGTCAGAGTCCTGTATCTCAGTTTCTGAGGTAAAGTACCAACAAAATCCACTTTTTATTGATTATTTCTCTATAATTTATCAATGATAAATCCCTGATCTGCGTCTTGGATGTCTCCTCTTTACCTTTAACCCAAAGTTTCCTCTTTGGGTCTTCCTTGAGGCCTTTCTTTGGCTTTGGAAAGCTCTGCATTTTGTTAAAGCTAACCTCCCATTTCCCATGATGATCATGGAAAGAACTGCTTTAAACCTCCTCCTTTGGCTCCATTTGGTCCCTGCTCTGCCTTTTGAACTCAATTCAATTCAATTTTTCAATTCAATGTTATTTCTATAGCTCCACATCACAACAACAATTCCCACCATGAGCAAGCACTAGGCGACACAGGCAAGGAACAACTTCCTTTAACAGGCAGAAACCTGGAGCAGAACCATGGAAATGTGAGATTTTTTCTGGTTTTCAATGAGTAACAACCAACCAGAGGGTCCCAGAGGGTCTTTCCATAAGTTTAAACCACAGAAAAGCTCCAAACCTGGCATGAGCTGGGCGGAGGGGAAGATGTCCTCCTGTATTTTCCTGCTTTCGTTGAGGAGCTCCTCGGGGCTCATGGGGAGCTCCAGCGCGTCCCGGATCACCCGGGCGGCGTCCAGGGCCTTTTTCCCCATGACCGAGGCCTTCAGGTCCCACGTGTACTGCTTCCCGAAGCGGTCGCAGATCTCCTGGAAGGACACGGTGTAGAGCCGCTCTGTGTCTGGAGAAAAAATGAAGTTAGTGGGACAGTAGAGACCTTTGACCTGACCTGTCCCACCAAACTCCGTTTAAAAAAAATCCATTTATTCATCCTCTGGGCTCAGTACTCCACATGAAGACCCCAATACAATACTACTTTTTTTTTAAAAGAAGCTGCCAATACCATCTCAAATTCGGGATATGCCTGTCTAAACAAGATGTAAGGTGTACCGGTAAAATCTGTAATTCTGTAAACTGTCCCCTTTGGACGGTGACTGTACTTAAGGTGAACTCGAGTCTTCCTAAGCACATTAAACGTCGATATTTGCGGCTTGTGACAACTACTGGTCGTTCAGAGTTATGCCGAATTCACAAATATATGAAATATTATTAATTTCTGTTCGTCCTAAAGACTTGATGCCATGCATTTAGTCGTGATAGCTAAAAAAGATAAGAAACAAGTACTTCTCGAACGAAGTTTGCTATGCCCGCCGTCAACAAGCGAAATCATTAAAACTGTGCACATGCGACACGAAAACTAAAAGCCACCACAAGAATTATAACTCCAAATGTGAATATATACCCAGTAATAATCCGTCCATGTCAAAAATGACATGGCTAACAGGTTTGAAGCTGCTGCTGGACACAGACATGTTTCCCTCATGACTTCCGGGATGACTAGCTGGGCAGGACGAAAAAGTACAAACACGGGAGCACATATTATGCTAAATAAACTCTAAATGACTAAACATTTTGAGATAATGTGGTTTTTATAACCTATACACAGTTATAAATGCTAAAATATTCACGTTTGTGATTAGAAATTCGCTTTAGTTTAGTTCCAGGAATAGGTTTTATGCGGCTTGTCGCAATGGCTTCTGGGAAGTGAAGTCCGCAGTAGCTTTACGGTCCTGACAGGGTTCGTCTCTAAAATCATCAGTTTTTTTTATCAATAAATCTTGGTTCATCTGATGAAAAATAAAAGTTTTTCGCCTTTTTTTTGTTGTTTTTCTGCCTTAGGCGTTTGTTAACCTAATTTATTGCATTTTTTTAGGTAATAATTTGTTCACTGAGACGCATTAAATATCTTTAATATCTAATAAATTGAAGAAATACAGTAACTCCAGTCATTATTCCTATTGTTCTTGTCAATTTCATACAATTGCTTGTAATGATAATGATTTTTTTTTGTTTTTTTTGCCATATTAAGTTTAATTTCTGTTATTTGTCTTGTAAACAGGAGACATTTTTTTGTAAAATCCACAATATTTGCAGTGTAAAATATACTGAAGATAACATGCTGCTATTGTATTGCAAAGTGACTGAATAGATACATAGAAGTAGAACAGATTTGAGAGGAAAATAGAACCAAGGACTGATTTTGGGCATAATTGATAGTGAGCTCTTTCCATTTAGTTTCAATGTCAAGCAGAAACATGGATTCATTTAGTGGTTGATGACATTTAAATGCCGTTTCCGTTAGATTCCTCTTCCTGAGATTTCAGAAACAATATCAAACACAGCACAGGATTTGGTTACAGTCACATAATTAAAGTTAAAGAACTCAAGAACTCTGAGAACCTCAGACTTGGGAACATATCCTTATATATTCTCACACTCAGATCCAATGTCTACCCTCTCAAAAATGTAGATTTGCGTGTATACGCTCATGTTTCTGCTCAGTTTTAGTAGAAAAGCCCAATGCAGACTCAGACCACTGAAGTGTTTGATAAGGTTTGTTTTACACAGCTGGAATGATGCTCAAATGTAGAGGCCAGGTAGATGGGTATCCACAGGGGTCATCGATACCTGCAATATAGCCGAGGGGGGGTCAGACGCAGAACGGGGAAGAAGATAGCTAAAGAAACTGGACTCCGGGGACACCGATTTGTCCCTAAACGCATCGATTTATTCAAACAAAGTCGGTACATTCTGTGCAGAACTTGTTTAAAGTTGTCCAGGTCCAGCTATAGAACTGAGGAGCCCAGATTGTTTCTGAAAAAGCTGTTTAGAGATAAAAGAAGTGGTGTTTTACGGGCCTGAGCGAGGTGGATGTTTTATTCAAAGCTTTCCAATGTCCGGAGAAAGGGCAAAAACCAGGAATTGGCTATAAAAGAAGACTGTGGACGGCCTCATGGGAGCGGCTTTATACAGTAGAACCTCCACATGCAAGTTTAATTGGTTCCAGGATCTACCTCCTATGTTAAAATATTCATATGTTGGTTAAAATATTCTCATAAGAATACGCTGTAAAAATTGGTTCCACATAGCAGAAAATGATCAGAAGTTGACAGAAAAATACAATAACTAGCCAAATAATTACCAAAATGTGGAGCAAAATAAGATTCAAACTGATCACAAAAGGACAAAAAAATACACAAAACTACAAACAATAGCTACAAAATGACCAAAATGTGGAGCAAAAGAGCAGAAATTGATCAGATATGGACAAAGAACGACTAAAATTAGCCATAAAAGGACCAAAATGGGCAGCAAAAGACCAGATAAGTGGACAAACTGATCGCAAAATGAGACAAGAATCCCATAAATGCTAGAAAATGATCAGAAATGGACACAAAAATTACAATAATTATCCATAAAATGACCACTTACCAAAATGTGGCTCAAACTGATCACAAAATGACAAAGAGTCCAAAAAATGATGAGAAATGGACACAAAACTACAACAATTAGCCATGAAATTAGCAAAATGTGGCACAAAAGAGCAGAAATTGATCAGAAATGGACACAAAATGACAATAATTAGCCATAAAATGAACAAAATGTGGTGCAAAAGAGCAGAAATTGATCATAAATGGACATAAAACCACAATAATTAGCCATAAAATGACCAAAGTGTGGCGCAAAAAAGCAGAAACTGATCAGAAATGGACATAAAATGACAATAATTAGCCATAAAATTACCAAAATATGGAGCAAAAGAGCAGAGATTGATCAGAAAATCAACTAAAAATTACAATAACTAGCTATATAATGCCCAAAATGTGGATCAAAAGAGCAGAAATTGATCAGAAATGGACATAAATGACAATAATTAGCCATAAAATGACCAAAATGTGGAGCAAAATCGCAAAAAATTATCAGAAATTAACATAAAATTACAATAACTAGCCATATAATTACCTAAATTTAGAACAAAATAAGGCTCAAACTGATCTCAAAATGACAAAAAAAGACACAAAACTGCCAGAGTCCAGAGAATGATAAGAAATGGACACAAAACTACAAACAATAGCCATAAAATGACAAAAATGTGGAGCAAAAGAGCAGTTATTGACCAAAAATTGACATAAAATTACAATAAATATCCATTAAATGACCAAATGTGGAGCAAAAGAGCAGAACATAAAATGATAATAACTAGCCATATAATTACCAAAATGTGGCTCAAACTGATCACAAAATGACAAAAAGTCCAAAAAATGATCAGAAGTGGACACAAAACTACAATTAGCCATGAAATGAGCAAAATGTGGCGCAAAAGAGCAAAAATTGATCAGAAATGGACATAAAACTACTAAAATTAGCCATACAAGGACCAAAATGTGGAGCAAAAGAGCAAAAATTGATCAGAAATGGACATAAAACTACTAAAATTAGCCATACAAGGGCCAAAATGGGAAGCAAAAGAGCAGATAAGTGGACAAACTGATTGTCAAATGACTAAAGAAGACACAATAATCCCAAAAATGCTAGAAATTGATTGGAAATCAACACAAAACTACAACAATTCGCCATGAAATTAGCAAAAGAATACATCCAGAGTGTTACACAGTTTCGGGGAGATTACGGGAATCTTAAACGAACGTTGGGGAACCTTTAACCCAATCAATCCCAACTACTGGGGCTGTTTTAGTGTTATGAAACAGGAGTTATCGTGTTCTCATTGAGTCATTTAATCACGACGAGGTGGAGGGCTGGCATTTGAGAAGTGCCTCTGGTTCCCACTGTGGGCTTTAATAAAATCTGAGCCGCACAATGCGCAAAAGTAATGAAGAGCCATTCAGAGCATGAGCACATTCGATTTGAATTAAGGTGTTAACGGCTGAATTTTTCATGAGTCTGGAACCGAATCGGGCTCCTTTTACAAACAAAACCCACAAACCCAGGAAGAGGCAATCTGGGTCTTAAACTAAAGATAAAAGCCGGATAACCCACAAGGTTTTTTAATTACAGACATTGTAGTCAAATAGCAAAGAAATTTTTTATCCCCCATAAAGATCATTTTCCCGCCCTTTTTTCTTTCATTTTCCCGCCCTTTTTTAACTGTTTTAGTCCTGATGCTTTTTAACTAAGCAAAGTGAACCTAAACGAGCAGGAATTAAGCTATTTAACTGGTTACCATCACGGGTGGAACCCTAACCCTAACGCAACCCTAACCCTAACCCTATCCCTAACCAGTACTTTGCTAAAATCCTACCCTAGCCCTGGATTCTAGTCCTAACCTCCCCCCGACTCGAGGACTCAAGGAAATAGACATAAAATTAAAATGATTGCAAGAATGACCAAAATGTGGAGCAAATAGTAGAAAATAATGTAGGGTTATGTATATTTCTATAAGTTTCTATAGGCTTACATAGTTTACAGATTTTTACATGGTTACATATATTTCTATAGGTTTTCTCTATAGGGTTACGAAGGGTTCTGTAGGGTTCAATGGGTTTATGTAGGGTTATGTAGGGTATGTAGGGTTATATAAGGTTATATCATTTCCCTCTGGGATTATTAAAGTGTTTCTGATTCTGATGTAGAGTTATTTAGGGTTATCCATGTTTCTTTAGGGTTCTATGGGATTCTATTGGGTTATGTTGGGCCATTTAGGGCTCCATAGGGTGTGATAGGGTTCTGTAGGGTTACACACATGGACTAAAGGGAGGATAAAATTAAAGGCAGGCAGAGAGTCCGTGTTCATTGCTATTTATGAAGCACTCTCCCCGGCATTTAAAAAGTGGACATGCTCGGCTGTATTGGAAGTGATTGCAAACAAGCCGGAAGAGCCGGAGATGAATGTAAGTCATGCGAAGAAATCTCAGGAGGCCCAGATCATGA